CGGTGGCAGAGGCGGAACGCATCACCACAAGGAAGGAAATTCCGGTGCATCGAGTAGCCATGACAAGAGTAATATTCAATGCTATAACTGCCAGGAGTATGGGCATTATGCATCTGAATGCAAAAATCCTCGAAAGGAACGAAACCACAAAAGCAATCTGATCCATGAGCATCATGAAGATAAACCTGCCCTGCTGCTGGCAACCCGCGAAGATGAAAGTTTAGTATTCTTGAACGAAGAAAACCTTAACCCACAATTAAGAACCCATGGCAACAAAAAGAAGTTATCCTGCACATGGTACCTGGACACAGGTGCCAGCAATCATATGACTGGAGACAAAACGAAGTTCAAAAACTTGAATGAATCAATTCATGGTTTCGTAAAGTTTGGAAACGATTCAAAAGTAAGAATTGATGGGAGAGGCTCAATTGTGTTCAAATGCAAAGATGGAGGAAACCGAAAGCTTGATAATGTCTACTACATTCCCGATTTATGTAGCAACATTATTAGTTTAGGTCAACTGGCGGAAGGTGGAGATGAAATAAAGATCAAGGATCCATTTTTATGGGTACGTGACTCGTCAGGAAAACTACTTATGAAGGTTCCCAGGTCAAGCAACAGACTCTACAAGATAGAATTGGAAGAAGTAAGGGCTGTGTGCTTAAGTATTAAAGTTGATGATCAAATGTGGCTGTGGCATAAACGACTTGGACACACGAACTTTGCTTCTCTAAAACAAATAGTGGACAAAGGGATGATCAACAGAGTGCCAAAGATCAAAATTCCATCATCAACCTGTGAAGGATGTTTGATGGGAAAACAGACAAGAAACTCCTTCCCAGCACAAGCAACGTTTAGAACAAAAAAGAGGCTGGAGTTAATCCACTGCGATTTATGTGGACCAGTATCACCACCCACACCATCTGGGAATAGATACTTTATGCTGATTGTTGATGATCTTAGCAGGGTAATGTGGGTGTACCTAATGGAAAATAAAGCTGAAGCACTCCAAATATTCAAGAACTTCAAAAATAAAGTGGAAACTGAAACAGGGGAGAAGGTGAAAGTGCTGAGAACGGATAGAGGAGGAGAATTCTTGTCGAATGAGTTCACAAGGTACTGCGAGGAAACGGGCATGGAGAGACATTACACGTCTCCCTACTCTCCACAACATAATGGAGTAGTAGAGAGACGAAATCGAACAGTTCTAGAGATGGTTAGATGCAATCTGAAAACAATGTCGATGCCAAACAGTTTATGGGGGGAAGCAGTTTCACACTCTGTTTACGTGCTAAACAGAGTGCAGACGAAAGCACTGAAAAATTCAACTCCGTATGAAGTGTGGACGGGAAGAAAACCACACGTCGATCATCTCAAGGTTTTTGGGTGTGTAGCTCACATGAAGTTAGCTAAGAGCAACTTAAAGAAACTTGAAGACAGGAGCAAGCCTCTGGTTCATCTTGGAATCGAGAAGGGATCGAAAGCGTACAGGTTGTTAGACCCAGATACTGGGAAAATGTATGTTAGCCGAGATGTTGTGTTCGAAGAGAATAGAAAGTGGACGTGGGAGAAAAGTGTTAAGATCAGGGCAACACCAGGGATGATTTTTACGGTTGAAGGTTTCAATCTTGATGATGGTTTGTACAATGAAGAAGATGACTGGGGTGAATGGATACCGGACACATCGGATCAAGAAATGAACTCGTCCCCGATAAGTGAAGACCGGGTCACTTTTGACCAGTCAAACAATCCGGGTCATCCAGATGAAAGCCAAATGGATACCCCAATAAATTCCCCGGTGATCCCTAATGCTCCCATTAATCAAACTTCCCCAATTACAGTGGGATCTACGAGTACATCCTCGAGCGCTACCGGCGAAGGAGCACCAAAGCGATATCGCCTTCTCACTGACCTCTACGAAGCCACCGATGAAATCCATATACCTCTAGAAGAACTGCTATTGACCAAAATTGATGATGAACCAACTTCTTATGAAGAAGCTAGTCAGAAACAAGAATGGCGAGAAGCTATGGAGGCGGAATTAAGTGCAATAGAAAAGAACAACACATGGAGTTTGGTCGATTTACCAAGAGATCGAAAAGCGATCGGCCTAAAGTGGGTTTACAAGATAAAACGAGATCCAAGTGGCAAGATAGTGAAGCACAAAGCCCGACTCGTGGCAAAGGGATATGTGCAGAAGGAAGGACTCGATTATGGAGAAGTGTTCGCACCAGTAGCCAGATTTGAAACAATCTGGCTCATCCTAGCTCTGGCAAGCTCAAATGGGTGGAAAGTTCATCACCTGGATGTGAAGTCGGCGTTTCTAAACGGCGATCTCGAAGAAGAAGTATACGTCTCCCAACCAGCTGGCTACAAAAGGAAAGGTGAAACTCACAAGGTACTGAAACTCTCCAAAGCCCTGTATGGCCTAAAACAAGCTCCCAGAGCTTGGAACTCCTGTCTAGACAGGTACCTGAAAAAACTAGGGTTCAGAAGATGTCCCCAAGAATACTCGGTCTATACAAGGAAGAAAGGTGGAAGCACACTAATTCTAGGTGTGTATGTCGATGACTTGATAGTGACAGGAAGCTCATCTGAAGAAGTGAAGAAATTCAAGGATGAAATGAATGAGAAGTTCGAGATGAGCGATCTGGGATTGCTGACTTACTACTTGGGAATTGAGGTATGCCAATACAACCAATGTATTACTCTCAAACAAGAAGCGTACGCAAAGAAGCTTTTAGAAAGGACTCAAATGCTTGAGTTCAATCCCACAAAATGTCCTATGGAACACAAACTGTTATTGACCAAAGAGGGAGATGGGAACTTGGTAAATCCCACTGAATATCGGAGTATTGTGGGTGGTCTTAGATACTTGACACACACAAGACCAGACTTGTCCTTTGCTGTTGGAGTTGTAAGTCGTCACATGGAAAACCCCACCATGGCACACCTCCAAGCAGTAAAAGGCATACTAAGATACGTAAAAGGGACATTGGACCATGGTTTAATCTATACACAGGGGGAGACCAACATCACTATCACTGGCTATTCTGATAGTGACCATGCCAAAGATAAGGACGATAGGAGAAGTACAGGAGGCATGATTTTCTATGTGAATGGGAACATGGTCTCTTGGTCATCACAGAAACAAAAGTGTGTGGCTCTGTCCTCCTGTGAGGCAGAGTTTATGGCAGCTACCATGACAGCATGTCAAGGTATATGGTTGAGGAGATTGTTAACTGAAATAACTGGTCAAAATATTTGTTGACAACAAGGCAGCATTAGAGCTCATGAAAAACCCAGTATTTCATGGCAGGAGTAAGCACATAGATGTGAGGTTCCATTTTATCAGAGAGTGTATTGAAAATGGTGAAATAGTGGTTGCTCATGTAGATGGGAAGAAACAAAAGGCAGATATTCTCACAAAGGCGTTGGCAAGAATGAAGCATGATGAGATGTGCAAAATGATAGGTATCAAGAAGATTGGAACTCTGAATTAAGGGGGAAAATGTTGATATAATTCAGAGTTAGGAGTTAGTTTATTTCAGTTAAACTGCACGTGTCTTTTTCATTTGTTGAATAAGTAAAAAGCTAAGTATGATAGAGTACCGAGTCACAAGGTTAGTGGAGTCAGTTGCACTTTATTCGCAGTTTTCAGTCTTTAAATTAGCTGCATTGTATTTCGTTGAGGTCACCACCTCCATTCTCAGTTCAGAAAAATAATAAAGCTGCAAAGCTTTTAGTAACTTGCTTTTGTTTTTACTTTTCCCGTTTTGCCCCTGTCCCTGTTTTATTGTTATAAATCTGATACAGGCCTCTTAAGGAGCCAACATGGATTGCCCTTAATAAACACTTTAACCAGTTTTTCCTGTTATTTAATGGATAAGTCTAATTTGTTAGAAGCTTCTATTTTTTTATTCCCTTATAACTTTCACTTTATGGCTGCCACGCGTAATGACATCTCCACAATTGTTTATGAATTGGATTACCATATGCTTGATCGATATACGTGTGAATATCATTTGTCTCACATACTTGGTTTTCAACTTCCACCTCTGTCATCATCTGTTCTTGATGCCCTGTTTAGTAAGGTTGGGTTTTATCTTCGACATCTTGTTTGTGGTTTGAGGTTGCCTCCATCTTCCTTCTTTTCAGAGATCCTTTGTTTTATAAAGTTCATCTCGTGCAACTATGCCCTAATGTCGTGTTGAAAGTACTTATTTTCGAGGTTTTTTGTGTGGCCCATAAAATACAACTATATGTTGCCTTGTTTCGCTATTTTTATCGCTTGAAAAAGTATGATGACTGGTATTCCTTTAGCAATCATCACTTCCCTCTCTCTCTCTCTCTCTCTCTCTCTCTCTCTCTCGATTTAGGTCATGCCAATGGTAGCTGGAAGAGTAGGTTCTGCTGGGTAGATGTGCTTAACTTATGTCTCCCCTTTTTTCATCATTATGTTCCTCTTGGTGATGATTCAGTGTTCTTATATGTTGAGTTATCCTCTTATGTACCCTTATTTTCTCATTTTTTTTTGTAAAGAGATTGTATTTGTCGGTAGTTGTACTTGCCTTGTGTTGCATGAGTCCTTTTTGGAAAGATCGATGTGAACTGTCAGTTTTATCTGTTCGACATGCAGGTTTGTCTAACTATCTATGTCCCTTACTAGATTTGGTATTGGTTCTTTTTCCCTTTGTTTCATGTAATCTCCTAATATAAATGTTGTTTTGGCATGTTTCTTGTTTGTTCCTTCAATGTTTTAGATGGTAGTAAATGCTTTTTTCAGTTGACATCATATTTAGCTTGTGAATTTTTTGTTGAAGTTATTATGTTGGACGATGTGATTCTGAACCCAGATGTAGACCCATATCTGGACCCAGTGATTGTCATTCCTGACTCTCCTATTAGACTTCCGGGGTTTGGTCCGGATGCTTTTTTTGTTGATAAACTTTTTGAGACTTCTTGTCATTGCTCCCTCACACGTTGGTTCTTCTCTTTCTATGGACGGTGTGTCCACAAATGTTCCTTGTACTAATCGGAAATGCAAACGACTTTTGACACCTCTCCACTTTGAACAATTTTTATGCGAGGTTTCCCAAGGCCATCGTTATGTATCTTCTTTGCCTTCAGAGTATGTTGCTCCGAATCCGGCGAGTATGTAGACTTTTTCTTTCTCTTTAGTAGTTTCGTTGTTATATATATATATATATATATATATATATGTGTGTGTGTGTGTGTGTGTGTGTGTCCTTGTTATGATAACTTTGTAGTATTGGTATTATTTTCCTGATGTGTGCAGATGGATGCCCTTATTGCATTTGATTTGAAGAGGAGTTGGATGAGGCATGTCGACTTATAGCCAATGTTGAGAATATCATATATATTGTGCTTAGACAAGAGCTTAAGTTCTTTGATGGCTTGTTAACCTTGCGAGATCGGTTTCTTGGCGCCAATATCACTCTATGGTTTGCCAAAGGTATGAAGCTTGCTAGTGAAGAGATGTTGTTGAAGGTTGGGGAAATGTATGTTGATTTGTCTATTCATTATAAGGACATTGTTGCTAATATTGTCGTGTTGGAGCATTAAAAGTATGTTGTTGAAGCTGATTATGAGGCATGCCTTCATGAGAATGATGTCCTTCATGCTCAGCTTGCCTCCAAATCTTGAAGATGTTGTTAGATATACATCGTTTATGCTCTTTTATGTTTTTTTGGCAAGCAACAACTTTTTTGTATTACTTGTGTGCCTAACCGATCCCTGTTGTATGACTGGGGTTTATTTATTTATTTTGCATTTTGTTGCTCTAAACAATTGTCCTTACTTTATTTTGTCTTTATAATGCTTAATGTGTCTAAGGTATCATCCTTATCGAGAGTGGGTAACCGTTTTGCAACTGTTGGCGGCACTTTCGAATTTTAAGATGGATTTTCTTAAGTATAGAATTTTGTGTGTACGCTAGATTCGTCGAGTTGTGTGTTTTATGCAGCATTGGTGTATCCTTTAGTGTAAATATGTGACATGTTTTGTAAAGAATAAATGTATTCTTTGGCTAAGCAGGTAGCCTATGTCGGAGTTTTGATATTCGACTTGTTCATGAATTTAGTCGGCTGACCGAGCTGCATGTTTTATATAGAATAAATATATTCTTTGGCTAAGCAGATAGCCTATGTTGTAGTTTTGATACTTGACTTGTTCATGAATGTAGACGGCTGACCGAGCTACATGTTTTATAAAGAATAAATGTATTATTTGGCTAAGTAGGTAGCCTAAGTCAGAGTTTTGATACTCGACTTGTTCATGAATGTAATCGGATGACCGAGCTACATGTTTTATAAAGAATAAATGTATTCGTTGGCTAAGCAGGGAACCTATGTTGGGGTTCTGATACTCGATTTGTTCATGAATGTAGTCGGTTAATCGAGCTACATGTTTTATAAAGAATAATTATATTCTTTGGCTAAGCAGGTGGCCTATGTCCTTTCCATATACGAAGTAGTCATACCCTTTTTGTTTTCGTATGTTTTCGTTCGCAGCGAATACGAAATTTTATGATAATTGCTTCATTCTCTTCGTTCGCATATCGTTCAAAATGTTTTCCCTTGCTTACTCAGATATAGAACTTTCGTATGTTTTTCACATGCCATGGTCTCAGTATTATCTCACCCTCCATCGTTTTGTAGAATATATGACCCATTTTTGTTTGCCTCCTAAATTATGTGTGGACCTTCCGATATTGGTCTCAACTTTTCGTGCGGTTATTGTCTGCTAGCTTCATTAGTCCTTAATACATTCTTACTTATCTTGAAACACCTGCCCTTGATCCGTTGGTTGTAATAATTATTCGTCTATTTTTTATAATGCTCCTGTCATATTGCTTCTACTTCTCTTCATTCCATGGAGACACCTAGGTTTTCTCTTAAGTCTTCATGGTTAGTCTCAGTGTCTATGTTTGTTGTTCGGTTCGTTTGGATAATTAACTCCAATGGTAGTACTACTTCTGACTCATAGACTAGGATATAAGGCATTTCCTTTGTTTTTGTACATGCTATTGGCCGGTATGCCTACATCACACTTTGTAACTCGTCAATCCATCACCTCTTAGCTTCGTTTAGTCTTGTTACTAACCCATGCATCATTGTTCTGTTGGTGACCTTGGTTTTTCCGTTTGTCTCTGGGAGTGCTACGGAAGTAAAATTTTGGTTGAGTCTGAGTCCTTCGCACCATTCTCGAAATGGATTATTTGTGAATTGTGTGTCGTTATCTGAAACTAGTGTGTGTGGTATCTCGAAGCGATAGATTATTTCCAAAAGAACTTGACAATATCCTGGCTTCTTATCGTAACTAACGATTCTGCCTCTATCCATTTGGTGAAGTAATCTATTGCGACTACTAAGAATTTTACTTTACCTGGTGCTTCTAGGAAATGCCCTACTATATTTATACCCCACTAGATGAAAGGCCATCGGCAACTGATGCTAATCATTGGTGTTGTTGATTTTCTTGGGATTGGTGCATGCTTCTGGCATTTCTCGTATTTGTAAATTGTACTTTTCGTTTCTTGATACATATCTTTGCTATTTTTGTAATATAGTTTGTGTATCATTCAAGTTTTAGTAAGTTTCTCTTTAAGTCCCTAATGAAAATTTCTTTCAATTTGATCCCATGGTTAGTACGTGGGGGCGTACTCATTGGGTACGCTAAGCGTACTGGCCATAATATGGTCGCAAGACTCAACCACGTACGATGGACGTACGTGAATCTGAGACAAATCCTAGTTTTTAAGGTTTGCACCCTATTTAAGGACCTTAAGTCCCCTAATCCCTTTACCTCTTTAGCCTCCATTGCCCTTGTTTTGTTAATCTCGAACAGTAAGCCACCTTAAGTGCATTTGTGGGCTTCCTTGAGAGTTTTTGGTGTTCTTTAGAGTCTTTGAAGAAGAAGGAAGCTTGGGAAGAAGCAAGGACATGAGAATAGGTTGTAGATCTAGAAGTTTGGCACCATTTCTAACCCTTTGAAGGTATAAAGTTTAAACCTTGATCATTGCATGCTTAGATCTAGGTTTAGGGTAGAAAATGGTATCTTTTGGTGCCATAGTTTGGATTCTTCGAGTTGAGAAACTTAAGACCATATGAGCTATCTTTTTGAACTCTTGGAGGTGTTTTGAGTCATAAAAATTAGACCTTGATGGTTAAGCCTCAACCATGCAAGTGTTGGGGACCATCCAAGTGTGCTTATTGACTTGATTCTTGTTTTGAGCCCTATCCTTACATGAAAAAGCATAAAGTTTGCAACTTTATGGCTTAGGACATTTTAGCGGCATGGATCTAAGTGTTGGACGTTGGATCTAAATGGATTAAGACATGGAAGTGAGAATGGTTTGGCCGACCAGTACGCCATGTGTACTCCAGTATACGCTGCGCGTACTGGGTCAATGCCTCGAACCCTGGTCAACACCCGCATACATTGGGCATACAAGCCAAGTATGCCTTACGTACGCAGTTAGTGGTCCTAGAAGGTATTTGGTCTCTTTTGGTGTTGGGATTTGGACTAGAGTAGTTGGGCCTCAGGCCTACCAGATTATAGCAAGTCATTTTGGGTCTAAGGCCTTGTTTGGGGTTCTTGGGACATATTAGGCCTTAGATTCCCTATAGTGGGCTTGGATGCCTTTTTGGAACCTTGGAAGATAGGGGGGCCAATAAGGTGAAGGTAAAGGATCCCTTTGGACTTAAGTCAAGAATTAGGGTTTTGGACCTTCAGTTTGGGATATGGCTTGATTTCTAATTAGGGTTGTATGCTTGTATGATAAGGAGAGGAGTTTGTGAGTCATCCGCTAAGTATTATTTGATACCCACAATCTGAGGTGAGTCTTCCTTCGCAGTAGCCATGGGTCAAAGGAACCAAGGCCGAACCACTAGTTTATGTTATAGTGTGATGATTGTCTTTGCGATAATTGTCAGTTATGCCAGTATTTTCTTGATGACTCTGGGCTTTCTGTTATAATATTATGTGGTAGTAGGGGTAAAATAGAACCTGTATCCGGTTGAAATAGATCGCAAGGGATTGCAGGCACCCATATATGATTGATAGTATCCGAGTGAGATAGACTGAAGGGGTAGGCAACAACCTAGATATGTTTAGGACTATCTGGTTGAAACATACTGAATGGGTAGGCCGACACCTAGATATGCTTGGCAATATATTTTTTTAGTATGTGGTATTTTGGGGGAACTCACTATGCTTTGTGTTTACATTTTATAGTTTTTTTGTTTCAGGTACTTCCAGTTCGAAGGGGAAGGGCACGACCTGATTGCACCACATCACTCTATGTTTTTCTGCACTTTGTGATTGTAGGATTTGTACTCTGATAACAAGTTACAATATGACTCTTTCGAATATTTTGATATCAGTTCCTTATGAAGTGAATGAATTTAAAAAATATACATCTATATTTTTGGGGATGTTACAAGTTGTTATCAGAGCCTTGGTTTGAGGGATTTAGGTATACTCTCGGGTGTGCCTGGACTCAAATCAAGGGTTTGATAGGGTTTTCACAAAAACCAACATTTAAATCTAATGATTTTAATAAAAGATAAGGGGTGTGATGCGTGAAATTGGCCGAGATCAAGTAAGTCTTCCCAAAATACCCATACAAGTTACATGTTTTATGCTATGAGAATTGCATGCTAGATTAGGGGCAAAGGATCTGCTCAAGATTACAAGATAGAATTCTAGGAGAGATTCTTTTATGTGCCTATCTGTATTAGCTTTTAGAACTGCAGGCTAGTATTAGATCAGTTACTTGTTAGGATGGCCTGTATAGGGTATATTTTGAGTTGAATTTCCTGATGCTCGAATGTTGCACGCTCTGTGCTGTTGGAAGTTCTGGTGGTACTAACTAACTAGTGGAGGAATACGTTGGGTTACATATTATCTGAGTCCAACCGTTGTAGAGTGGGACTTGTCATGCGAAGGATTATCTAATACTAGTAGTATGTAATTATATTCATGCGGTAGTTAGGTGGTACTTGTAAAAGTTCCTTCTACAGCTGATAGTAGAAAGGGGTGAGGAAATGAGTCTTAGGGAGTCCCTCTAAGATGATTGGTGTGTAGGACGCCTTATAGTCTAAGAACGTATTAGTTAGGAGGAAGAGTGACTTGGAAGAGTCGAGGAAGTCCTTGAGGAGGGTATAAATAGGTGTGGAAGGTAGTATGGGGGACGTACCATGAAAGCACATGATTTATACCCGATGCCAGAAGACCACAATGAATCCGGGGAACTGGAGAGTGTAAACTTTCTCGTGTGTATGATAATTTGTTTATGTGGTTATGTTTCAGTATGGTGATGACATGTCATGGAGCGGGAGGTTCAGGATCTGGATCTGGCTCGGGGATGGGCTCCGAACCAATTGATGAGGGTTTACAAGAGTTCATTGCATCTGAGATCACGAGAGGCATCGTTGATGTGACCCCTATGATTTTTGGGTCGATCAAGTAAGGTATCATGGAGTTGATGGAGGATTGTCTTAGGATCTTCAGGGCCGATCCAGCCATAATCCAGACGGGGGCCCTCACACTCTCCTTCAAGG